CGATGAAACTGTCACAAATATCAATGCATTTGTTAGTTTCCTAGTTCTAGCTTATTTTGCTTCAAATACGCTCAAACGTTTTGTCCTTCTTTGTCTTCGATAGTCAGCGTTGTCCGAGCATTGTTCAGTTTCAAGCCTCGAGACTTGTTCGCTGCTATTTCAAGGCAAACAACGGGCAACTTTATGATTAGACGAGCATTATTCAGGTCCAGTAATACCTCTAATGGTCATTTACTTTGTCACATCGTAAAAATGCAGATATTTGCTTAGTTTGTCAGGAGGTGTACTGTTTAGTGAGCAAGTGAGTGACAGGAGAAATGAGACACCATAAGGAAGAATGGTTCTACTTTCGAAGATAATCAAGGAATTCTATTATATAAAACAAAAGAAAGGAATAATATTTATACATTATCTCTCAAGTGCAGGTTATTAATACTTAATTATGTGATAATACTGGTTGCAGACTCGACAATAAGCAGCTTAATGTTTGAGTCTCTCAATTTCAATGTCACCCACTTGGTGAGTTACTACTAGAGCTGAGTCTTGGTAGCCGATGTAGTGTAAATTGTAACTCACACTTGCACTGGCAATATTTCTATTCATAACATCAACCGACGTTGTGGCAGTATTATGTCGAGTGGAATCATGGCATTCGTATGGTACAGTTCGGCTGCGCCGGCATCTTGTTCAAAACGAAGCATCTCCAGTCATAAGCTTCCACATGTCGCACAACAAATGGTGCCCGGCGCGGTCCATGATCGCCGGAGAAATTGGCCATAGTAATTGTCATTGTCAGGGAATGACAAGGGAGTGCTTGTGCTCATGGTTTCAGAACCGTCGGTGTCGATTCTTACTCCCTTTGTCCATCGAAACAGGCGGGATTGGCAATCGCTGCACCAACCTATGTACATCTAGGTCGCAATTGCTTGACATTGGTGGCTAGGGTCGATGTTGCAGCCGGTGAGTGAGTCGCTGGTCCCATTTTGTTGGTCGGACAGCGTATTATCACCTGATGACAGCATCGCGAATAGAACTATATGAGTCCATTCAGCTTGGTCGCCACCCACCCTTTCTGGAGAGTGGTCTGTTCAGTACAGTAGCAAGAGTAGTTTCCCGGACCGGGTATGTGAGATTCCGGTAGGGTCTGGGTTTGGAGAATAGTCGCACAAGCATCTGTTCGATTCCAGTGGCGATTGTTCTACATGGGCGGTTTATTGTGTTAAGGTGCACTGCATTGCCCAACGGACTTCGGATGCAGGGTAGCCATTTGGGATCGGATCAACACTTGGAGCACCGGATAACCACACGCTGGAAGCACTGGATCAATACTAAAATGAAAATGGCTTGGGCTGTATAAAAATGGAATACTGACATCAGACCTAGGGCATAGGGTAACCCGGACGAAGATCGTGGTCAGGATCCGAGCTTGCCAAGCCAGTGACAAGCGCGGATTTTCTTACTTCCATTGCCGGTGGCTAAATGCCGGGCCCTGGAAAACGTCTTTTTTTGTGGCAGGTAGCGCAAACGTTATCCGGAGGAATCGATTGAGGTCTGGACTAGAGCCAGTGGTGGCTCGTCACGGCAAATACGGCAACTTTTTATTGGAAATCCCCGCGTCTTCCAAAACTGGGTCAATTGCGTCGAACATTCGAAGGATGGAGAGGCGATGGGGTCTAGAGGCGGAGTTGAATGTCCAATGCGAGAGGCATTTTTGCTGGCTGGGGATACCGGCATCGAGGGCCACAACTCTGTGTTTCGCCATCTGTGTATCCGACCTAAAGTGATCCTATACTGAGGCTGAAAGAGGGGAAATGCCAGTTTCCCATCGAGCAATGGCAATTCGAATTCTTTCGTACGCGCTGATGCCGCGTCGCGGGGTAGCAGCCCTCTCTGCTGACCCAGGCTGGCTCAGCTCACGAGGACACTACGTCAGATTACCCATCCGTTCACATGGAAGACGAGGAGGTGTGGTAGCCAAAAGCAATGGGCCATAGTGTGGGGAATCAGGCGGACGGCCTCCAGCTCGGTCGACTGGTTACTTATGACATCTGATCTCGTGCATTTGTATTGAACTTGGACATTTCGCATTGGGAACAGCGCATAATCAAAAGGGCGATCCATCTAACCTGAAGGCTGTGCAGAACAACTCACGGGAGGCAGCCAGCAAATACGCTACCACCTGTCGAAGAGGAGTACATACGACGAGCAGCAGGTACAACGAACATCCGCCAAGCGCAGAATACGTCCCTCGTGCTTTTTAATGTAAGATGGGATTGGATCAGCCGTACGTATTGCGCGTCAAGCTTGGCGAGGTCGGGAAGAGTATGCATTCAACAACCTTCCAGGCGCCCATTGTGGCTGACTGAACTCTGCCAATGCCGCGCCGCATATCGCATTTAGGTAGCTCAAGCCTCATCATCTAATATACGCACGTCACCGATGAAATTTACCCATCCGGTGCTAAGGAATCAGACATCGATCTACACTACTTGGCACTAACACGTGCAATGCAAGGCGAACGAGAGCTGCTGGAAGGTAGGAGGAGCGCCTTTGGCTGGGATATCCCTCACACCACAGCCTGTAAGGGCTTCATGGGAGGCACCAGAAGCGGAAAGATGCATGACCTGGTAAGCAGATCTCGGAATATTGTTGACCGCCAGATGTAATTGCCAGGCTAAGAGACGTTCAGGGACTGCCTACCGTAATTTCCCTCCAAACGATGTGCCGGACAGGAGACACCCCCGGCGTCCAACACCGAGAATCCAGCGAAGGAGGCAGCTTACAGAGGCCGCCAGGCCGAGTCCCAGGCTCCGTTTGGCTGGCAGGATTAATCCCTCTTGTCCCTCCTCCGCTGTAGGAGGTACCTGGACTGCGCTGGTCTTGATCTGGCCTGGCTGTCGCGTCATGTACCTTTTGTCCTGCAGATCGGTTGGGACTAAGGCGGCCATCGGTGCCCGCGGGTCTTGAACCTGCGCTACAGGAATAATCACCTTTGTGAGTGGCCAGGATCAGTGCCATCTAATATTAAAGCCAGAGGTGAATTACCTGTTTGGTGCATGTCTCTGGCACCGTCACCCACCTGATTTAGGGGATCGTAGTACTGTAATAAACCTTAGTTGGCCAGGGACGAATCCGGCCGGTGAGCTACGTGCTGTCGGTATGAGATATTTGTTCAGCGCTAGAACGACTCGTGGGCTCGTTCTCGGCGAAAATAGGCCCAGAATTCGGAACAAGTTTTTTTCACGCTCACGCTCCCCAACAGAGTAAGAAAATTTTCTTCAAGTGGCGGATATTATACACGGCGTCATACTTTTTCTTGCACCGGGAAAGAATCGGAGGGGTGCAAATGATCGGAAGCAATTTTTTTTTTTGCTTCCGGGTGAATGTTAGGGTCCCGCGCATAGCATAATTGGATGATGCTGAAATGTGTCAGTGTCCAGATCCAGTCAATGGGATGGAGACTGTACAGTGCACTCCTTTGATTGACTGTTTCTATGTATGCATATGAATAAGATCAACAGCCACGACTAATGAGCCACCCTGGCTGTTCTCTGTTCTCAATGCTCATCTTTCGACGTACGTGGAAGACAGTCCGCCAGCACAGTACGAGCGCCGAGGACAGCTGACTGATTAGTGGGTGAGGCTGTGTGCTCAGCGCTGAGAAGGCGCCGCTGAGGTGAGGTAAGCATGATGGGCACAGTGTCCTCGGAATGTGCGTAGACACGGCTCAGCGGCCGGCCAATGGGCGTGGAGCCTGCGTTCATAGGGGACTGGAGCGCCATCCGGCTGGATACAAGGGCACCAGCGCTGGGCCGTGGACCGTAGCATTGCAGCGCCAAGAGGGGGCCTGCACTTGCGACGGAGCACCTCAACTGTGCGTGCAGGTGGTCTACGGCGACCCCCACCCCACAAATTGGGTGTTCCGGCCACTGAGCACACCGAAACCTTGGTGCCGGCTGGGAAGAGCACTTGTCTCACACCTAAATTACCATGTACCCTCTGTCTCTCGCAGGTCTTTGCATCTGGGTGGGGACTGAGCAGGGTCCCACCTGCCTCCTCCCTGACCCCGTCCTTTTTTCTCGCAGTTCAATGAGTCGCTAAAGCTCCCTGTCGCCGCTGCTTTCCTTCTGGCCCACGTGAAGCAAGCTCCCTCGTCCGGACTGTTTCTTTGTGCTTGCTTCTTGTCTGCTCTTATTTGAAAGCCATTCTCTCTGCCTCTCGCACGCACTTTCGCATTCACCCTCGCACGACTCGACCCGTCAACTGTTCCTGCACTTCTGGTCTCGCCCTCGCCGATTGCAGACTCAGCCAGGCTGCTTTGTCATCTCTTGGGGAACAAGGGTGGCAGTACCGTCTCAAGCACCACAGAGCCCCTCGAGCCAAGGAGCGAGTTCTAGCAGCGCCTGTCTTAGTCGCCTCTGCACTGCCGCCCACCACGGGAATCTTGAGAATACCAAGGGTCTTCCCTCTTGTCTTACCGCGGCTGGTGTTTTGTTTGGCTGGAGATTAAAACGCGATCGGCGGCATTTCACTGCCCCCCTGTCCTGACGAAATACCTGACGCAAGCTTAACAGGATCGTCGGTGCTCACAGGACGTCTCTGGCGCAAGCCGCATAACGTCGGGCAACGCCAACTCATTCCTGGATCTGATTCCGCTGCTGGGCGAAACCACCAACGGTCCGTCACAGAACAAGAACAATAAACACAGCACACCCAGGACTCCACTACTTTATGTCTCAACAATGAATCTCTTGCAGTTATAGCCAAAGCGTCCCCTGGGACAACTCTTTCACACTCAGCGCTATTTGCAATCAAAGATCACTGACTTTAGTGACTTGGACGATCTATCACGACTCAGCTGTATCTTGCCTGTTGGCAGGCCTTTTTCCCTTCAGCCCTATCACATCTTTTAGTCACGCTTTCCACACCTTCTCGGAGCCGATTATTTCCCTGCTGCACTGGAGGAGATTAAGCCTATCGGCTTAATGCAATTTACCATGATGGGTACTACTTCAATGAGCTGGCATGCGCCAGCCTGGGCCACCCAAACTCCCGAGGATGTCGAAGAGGCGGATGAGCCTCCGGAACCTTCAAGTCCTAACCGCTTCCGCCGAACTCAGGTCAAGCGCCCCAATGAGCAGACCTCTCTTTTGACCAAGGCCTTGATGGGAGGATCGGACAATGACGACTCTCTTCCTCAGCATTCCGACTTTACTCGACGGAGGTCCATGGCCAGCAATGTCAGCATCGCCTCGACTGCGGATCTCACAAGCGATACTGGATTCACTAGCCCTGCTCGAACTAACACGCCCAGCCCGCCTGTCCCCGAGCTACTGATTTCCCGACTCAATCGTCTTGACATTCAGGGCCAGATCCCCAGCCAACTAGACACAGCCCTGGACGTTCAAAGTCGGACTCAGGTTGCGAGGTCGCATGACGAGCCAAAAGTGGCTCCTCGAAAGCGATGCATCCAGTTCGCTTGTGGAGCCAAGCCCAGCAACAACACATCGACATCAGACTCAACCACGAAGCAAACATCCGTTCAGGATGCCCCTGCTCGAAAGACTTGTATTAAATTTGCTGCCTGCCCAACTCGCCCATCCTCCAAAAACACACCACCTCAGCAGACTGGCCGAATTCATCAAAAGCAGGCTCATTCTCCATCAACGCCCAAGAGAGAGCCAGCAACGCCATCTACCCCTCGCCAAGCCAACTTTCGCCGTTCTTCCGATCACTCTGTATCACGCCCAAAGTTTCTGCGCGCCAACTCGACCGATCTGGTAAACGATGGATCCCAATTTCACGAGTTTGCAAGCGAAACGTCTAGAGAGGATGACTGGATTCGGCACGCCAACACCTCAGCTAACCACAAGCTCACTATTAATGATACCCTTGTGAAGGAGAATCAGATCCGGCGACTGGCGAAAGAAGCCGAGGAGGAAGCTGAGCTTGAGGAAGACGAGGAAGAGGCTGCAATTGATGATGAAGAGGATGAGGATGAGGAGGATGAAGACGAAGATGAGGACGAGGACGAGGACGAGGACATTGACGATGGGGACTTTGACGAGGATGAGCTGGAAGATGAACTATCTGATGGCTACCACACTGACGAAGAGACTGGGTTCGCCGAATCGGAGGACTCTGATGCCGAGGATGGAAACATGGCTCTTTGGACGTTGAGCAAGAGTCCTCGCTTGCGGCCGACTCTCAATGTACCTGTCTCCCGACGACCGTCACTCCAGGGACATCAATCGGATTCATCAACAACTACAGGCGGTAGCCCTCGCCGCACCAAAATGAAGCGCGTCAAACCCCAACCTGAAGCTCCTGATCTGCCAGACAGCACAGATTTCGTATGCGGCACGCTGGATGAAGATAGACCTCTTGAAGAGGCCTACCTCTCCTGCCTGGCTGCTCGTAGGAACGAAAAGCTCCGAGTCATTCCTCAAGACATTGACCCTAGCTTCCCGGCGTCCGAGCCTGAAGACGAAGATGATGAGGATATCTATAATCCTGTCCACCATGACAGCGATGATGACCTTGTGGGCGAGATGGAAGATATTCATCACGGGCAAGACAGACCTAGAAGGAGACGCAAGAGTGACCTCGCTTCTCCACGTAAGTGTCGCTCTCCTGCCCCAAAACGACTTCACTCTCCTCCACCAAAGCGACTCCGTTCCCCCCCTCCGAAAAAGCATCATTCTCCACGTGGCCGTTCACCCAAGCTGCTGTTCGATCGTCAGTCTCCCCGAAGACCGAGATCCCCAGCCCCAAGGGTAATGGTCACCCCAAGAGGGTCTCCCCGCCAGGGCATTCATGTCAAGTTCAACCTTGCTGCCCGCCCCGGCCCTACCATTACCAAATCCTTACCCCGTCCTGGAATCTTCACTAGCCGCAAAAACGATCGCCACTACATGGGCGAATATGTCGGAGTTGATCTCCCCGTTCGCGGCGCCATTGACATTGTCAAGGGCCTTGAGAAGAAGCGCCAGAGACGCAAGGAGAAGTTCCAACAAAAGTACTGCAACCGAGCTCGTCGCGGTCAGATCCCAGAGAGAAAGCCCCAGCCAGGTCGCGGGGCTCTCCGAATGCGAGAGCTGGGACTCCTCATGGCTGGCAAGAAAGACCAAGGCAATTACGTTTTATCGATATAATCAATTCAGGGATGGCTTAATCTTCTTTTCACTTATCTCATAGCCATTCCTATGACAAAGGTTTACCCCACCTTTGTTAATTCTTTCTTTTACTCCACCACGATCTATTTTCTTTGTCAACACCATAGGTATAGCATCGCACGGCGCAGAGGAAAAATTATCCATCGCATGTTCAAGGGAACCTGGGTAAACATCAACACATTTACGATCATCATGGCATTTTTATTATTCACATCTTTCTTCTTCTTGCATCATATTTTCGGACGGATATATTATCTTGGGCGTTTTCAAGTATACTAGCATATATGGGCATTCGGTTATGGGAATCATGGATGCTGCGCAGATTCATAAGCAAGCGTGTAGGGGCCAAGGCCTTCCTACTTCAATACATCATTTCCACATACCAATTTGTGCAGCTTTTCTTGCAATGAGTGAAATGTTTGTTGCTGGTGAGGCAGCATGCCAGAGCTTGAACCTTCGTGAACGCAAGGTGTGGTTTTGGCGACGAGAAAAATGCTGGCTCGCTCGTGTTTGTGAGTGTCTACTTCTCCTTGTAACTAGCCACGTTTGACAAACCAGTTCCGGCATCATGACACGTAGCTGCGATATCAATTAGCTGGGTGTGCTGGCAGTAGTGGTGGCCCAGCCATGTTTACAGTGGCACGTAGATTCAGGACGAAGAATAAGTGGAAGTTGGTTTCTATGGACATGAAAATGGACTCAGCCGCATCTGCGCAGGCAATCGGGCATAATAAACCGATGCATGTATTTGAGTTCGCGATTCATCTCGTCATCTTGCAGTGACGACAGTCCAGGGATGGGCAAGTACTTGGTGCCTGAGATTCCAGGTATCCACCCACGACGGTCTGTGACCGTCACTCCAAGTCCTGGCCAGCTTGCCGTCCCACCACCCACCATCAAACTCACTCCACCACCTTACGATTCGACAACTCCTCGATCCGAGACGGCCTAGAATTTATTAATTCGAGAACTGCGGAATAATACTGCTTCCATCATGTGGATCGTGAACTGGTGTAAGATGCCCCCGTCGAGAGGAATCCCTTTGTCGGGCCTGGCAAGACTGACACGTGGGACATACTTGCAGTCTACGATGTGCTCTCCTCCTTGGGCCTTCTGAACAAGCACGCCAAGCTCCTGTTCCTCGGACTTGACAATGCAGGAAAGACGACTCTGCTTCACATGCTGAAGGTACGCCGACGCCGCGAGCTCCCGGCCTGTGTGCCAGTTTCCTCGTCTTCGATTTCGACCTGGGTGATATCATGTTAACGAAGGGCTACTACAGAACGACCGTGTCGCCATTCTTCAACCAACCCTCCACCCAAGTGAGTCGATCCGTCCTAGTTTCATCACCGAAGAAGAATGAGATAGCTAACGATCTTTGGGTAGCCTCTGAGGAGCTTGCTATTGGCAACGTCCGATTTACGACCTTTGACCTGGGTGGTCACCAGCAGGGTACGCAACCTTCCCCCATCACATCCCTGCGAGCTATTCCAGTTGCACAACCGAGAACAATAATAGTGAACAATGGCGGAGATGCTAACGTGATGCAGCCCGCCGCATCTGGAGAGATTACTTCCCCGAAGTCAGCGGCGTCGTCTTCCTCGTCGACGCCAAGGACCACGAACGATTCGCCGAGGCCAAGGCCGAGCTCGACGCGCTCCTCTCCATGGAGGAGCTCTCCAAGGTCCCCTTCGTCATCCTGGGCAACAAGATCGACCACCCCGACGCCGTCTCCGAGGACGAGATGCGCCACCAGCTCGGCATGTACCAGACCACTGGCAAGGGCAAGGTTCCCCTGGAGGGCATCCGACCGATCGAGCTGTTCATGTGCTCCGTGGTGATGCGCCAGGGCTACGGTGATGGCATCAGGTGGCTATCGCAGTACGTCTAGATGGGGGCAGAGCTGGGCTGAAGGATGGCCGTGACGTGCCCGGTATAGGGGGCTTCGGCATGTGATTCGTGCCCGGGAACCCGAAGGGTGCAGATTGGGGGGCGAACATTGGAAGGGAAGGGAAGAAGGCGAAGTAGGGATGAGGCATGCGACTTGGGACTACGAGTAGATTCAGCATTCTCTTTAGGCGAACGTTGGTTGTGCAATTCCGATGGATTTCTTTTTATGGTAATTTCTTGGTTTGGGAGAAAGGCTCCTCTCGGAGCAGTAATTTTCAGGCCGGCAAAGTCGTGGTCTTATTTCTCCATGGTCATTGCTTTTCAGGACCATGCCCAAGAATACTTTACTGTGTAAGAAGCTGAGCATGCTAAAATATATCCGCATCTTTGTGTGACTTCTACAGACGAACTGTTCCGAGCAAACAAAGTTGCCAGTGTTTGTTTGTCTTGGCTGCTCGGCAAGTTGCGGTTCCGAAAGGTCAGCCTACCCTAAAGATCAGGACATCCTTGCATGCAGCGAGCGGGTCCCGGGGGATTGGCATTGTTTAGATGGATCTTAAAATTTGTTTTTTTTTATAACACGTACTCGGACTCGGGGCTGGCCCAAGGTAATTTGGTCATTAGCCAAATACGCTACCGCGAAGCGACTAGCTGCTGCTCCGTAGTGAACTCTCGGTGCCGTATCCCTTTTCACGCTTTGTGTTGAGGTGCACTTGCGAACATCTGTCAGTTCCGATCTTAAAGCATTGAGCCACACGCTGTACAAGAGCTTGAGGATACAGGGCTCAGTAGGGTTCAATTGATTGTCTTCGCCATGGCTCCGTCAACCCAATATGAGTTTGGCGGCCCGTAAGTCTTGCCGCCCCCCATTGCCACCACATTCCCCCGTCTCACCTCAAGGTGATGAACATACAAGAGATGATGTAATGCTAACGCGTGAGTATCGGACGTCAGTATCGGTGCGGCGGGCATTGTCTTTGGCCTCCCGTTGCTGATGAATGTCATGTACCTCGGCTGCAATGACGTCTCGGGATGTCCTGCCCCAGCTCTCCTTGAGCTGCGCTCCCTGACCTGGGACACGCTCAAGGCCCAGATCCCCTGGCCGGAGGACGGCATCTGGGGGTTTGCGAGCTGGAAGGTTACGGGATGGGTCCTGGCCTACTATCTGCTCAGCTTGGTTCTGTACCGAGTTCTGCCAGCGACAGAGGTCTATGGCACTAAGCTGCGTGAGTCTGGCAAGCCTCTCAAGTACCGCTTCAATGGTAAGCCTTCAGTCCCCTGAGCTGCAAGTCGGATTACTCTTTCAGATTGGCTAAGTGCCTCCCAGCCTTCCATGCGACGGTGGTGCAGCTCGTTGCGTGTGCCATTGGCACCTACATCCAGGGCGCCGACTTCGTGGTCTGGACCTTCATCACGGACAACTATCTGCAGATCCTGACGGCCAACATCATCCTGGCCTACATCATCTCCATTTGGGTCTACATCGCCAGCTTCAGCGTGAAGCAGGGCAACCCTGACCTGCGTGAGCTGGCCAGGGGTGGCCACACCGGAAACCTGATCTACGACTTCTTCATCGGACGGGAGCTCAACCCGCGTGTCACCCTCCCCCTTTTCGGAGAAATCGACGTCAAGGCGTGGCTGGAGATGCGTCCCGGCCTCACCGGCTGGGCCCTGCTCGACCTCGCCTTCATCGCCCAGCAGTACCGCAACTACGGCTACATCTCCGACAGCATCATCATCGTCGCCGCCGTCCAGTCCTACTACGTCCTCGAGGGCCAGTTCGCCGAGGCTGGCATCCTGGGCATGATGGACATCACCACCGACGGCCTCGGCTTCATGCTCAGCTTCGGCGACATCGTCTGGGTCCCCTTCCTCTACTCCACCCAGTGCCGCTACCTCTCCGTCTACCCCGTCCAGCTCGGCTGGGCTGGCGTCGCCGCCAACGCCCTCGTCTTCACCGTGGGCGTCTCCATCTTCCGCGCCGCCAACTCCCAGAAGAACAGGTTCCGCACCGACCCCAGCAGCCCCGAGTTCGCGAACGCGACCTTCCTCCAGACCAAGCGGGGCACGAAGCTGCTCACCAGCGGCTGGTGGGGGATGGCCCGCCACATCAACTACTTTGGCGACTGGCTGCAGTCCCTGCCCTTCTGCCTGCCCACGGGCATCGCGGGGTACGTCATCTTCCCCGCGGCCAGCGGGCTGACGGGCGTCGGCGTCAAGACGATGCTGGGCGGGCGCGAGGTCATGCAGGGCGAGCTGAGGGGCTGGGGCATGCTCTTCACGTACTTCTACTCGGCATGGTTCGCCTTCATGCTCGTCCACCGCGAGCGCAGGGACGATGCTGCCTGTGCGGAGAAGTATGGCGACGACTGGGTTACGTACAAGAAGAAGGTCCCGTCCAGGATCATCCCTGGGATCTACTAGACGGGTTTTCGCTGTCTTGTGGATGGGGATCATTGGGCTGGTATAAAATTTGGGTGTGGTGTCTTTTACTTGATGCTTCCTCGTGGACGCTGCCAGCTCATTAATTGAAATCTGTGCCATTTTTGGTACTTTGTCGTTCTCTCGGCATATATTTACGCATATTAATCTCTTTATTCTGGATAGGCTACTCCGTCATGGAACTGTAATGAAGGGGGGGGTAAAAAAAAGGGGCTAGCGAGCTAAAGATTGTAGAGAATGAAAGGAAGGATTTTTTAACTCTTGAATGCGAACATATATTCCCCTTGTCTAATTAGAAGGCACAGACTCATCAGCAGAAATGAACTGCGCGACGGGCGTATACCGCCATCTTTTAAAGCTCGCCAGACCTCCCCCCGGACAGTCCGCGCCCTCGCCGGCCCCGTTGCAGGTCGCAAAGGCCCCCACGAGACTCCCCACGAACGACCCGTTGCCGCCGCTGACCAACCCCGAGGAGGCAGTGCCCAGCACGATGTCGGGTGTGCCGGAGCATCGCTTCGACGCGGAGAGCTCGTAGGATAAGGGGTCCTTGGCCTGGATGCGCAGTCTTATCGGCCCGGAACGCTTGAGCCAGTCCTCGGGCACGGTTACGATTTTCTCGGGGGGCGGGCCGCCTGTGCCCTCGGCGCGGAGGCGAAGGGAGAGTTTTGGGGTCTTGTCTGCGTCGTCTGAGAGCAGCACGACGCTTACGTCGATGTGGTTGGCTTGGGTGAGGAAGACGGTGATGCCTGCCTCCTGGCCGATTTCGCGGGGGGTGAAGTCCAGATCGACGGTGAAGTCAAACAGGGTATGGGTTTGGCGCCTGCCGACGAAGGAGAGCCCGCGGCGGCCGGTCAAGAAGACATCCGTCTCTGAGTAGGGGACGCCCGTGAGGTTGTTCCTGCTGGGGACGATCTGCAGCCCCTTCTCCGTGAAGGAAAAGGCGCCATCCCGAGGCACGCGCCAGTGCACGAAATGTTTCGGCAGCGTGGATGGGGCGCCGAAGTCGAAGTCGTCTGCCTCGTCGTTGAAGGGCCCATCCCCAGGGACGGACTTGTCCTCGGCTGGTAAGGGCCACCCTTCCATCTCGCCGCGGACGTTCTGGAGGACGGGCCACTCGCCCTCCTCCCACCGGGCTGGATACAGGACGGTTTCCCGCCCCATGGGGTAGTTCTTGTACTCGGGGCCACAGCGTGTGGCGAGTGCTACCCCCCACCAGTTCCCCTCCGTGTCTGTGAAGAGGTCGCCGTGCCCGACTGTCTGGAAGTACTCGTCCGTCCCTCGGTTGGTGAGGATTGGGTTGTTTGCGTATGCTTCATACGGGCCGTCGATGCTCTTGGCTCTCGCAATGGTAATGGAGTGGTCCAGCTCGGTGCCACCCTCGGCAATGAGGAGGTAGTACCACCCGTCTCTCTTGTAAATGTGCGGCCCTTCTGGCCAGACGCCGCCGGTCCCGTTCCAAAGGGAGATTGGGGGCTGGCTCAGCTCGCCAGTCTCTAGGTTGAGCTCTTGCAGGATGATCCCCTGGGTTGCGACGTACACCTTGCCGTCGTCATCCCAGAAGATATCGGGGTCAATCTTGGTAGGCTTGAATGTTACCGGGTCGCTCCAGGCATCATCGCTAAATGGATCCGTGGTCCTGAACAGAACGCCTATGATGCCGTCCTCCTGGCCGAGATATTCACAGACGAGGAAGAACTCCCCTTCGTGATACCTCAGAGTCGCTGCATACATGCCATCCTGCTGGCCATACGTGTTCCAGCTGATGCCCGGGAGCTGGGACTCGCGGCTCCAGCCGTGGGAGATGAGTCGCCAATTACGAAGATCCTTGGATGCATAGATGGGTAGCCCCGGGAAGGCGATGAAGGTTGAGGTGACACAGAAGTAGGTGTCATCAACACGGATGCAGGATGGATCTGAGTGCCATCCTGGGAGGATTGGGTTGTAATACGTCGAGTTGGCGAGTTGGTCTGCCAATGCTGTCCCCAAGCACAACGAGAAGAGGGTTTGGACAAGAGAGGATATCTTCATCTTTGCTTGCCGGGTTTCTGTGAACAGTAGCCATCGAATTTCAATGTCATTTAGCTTGAGAGTCCATGATCTCTATTTTCTAATTGAATTTCAACATATCAATACAGATACAGGCAGAAGTTGTTTTTGGCTAATACGAAGATTTAGCCGTTCGGAGCAAATACCACCCTGCGATATGTGCCTAAGTGTGAGGCGGGGCGCAGATGATGCCAGACGTCCCAATCACATCTGTTAGTTCTCTCCATCCTTTCTTGTCGATCATCGGAGGTTATAGCAACAGGTTGGCATCCTCCGATTGTCCCGTAGGTGGTGGCCTCAGAAAACCAGGGGCGCAAAGTCACCTCGGCAACGAAGAACTGTTGCATAGTCGGATAATAATGCATCATGTTGTGTAACAGTAAAGGAATATTATGCGACAATAATCCCAACCTCAACAATTCATCAACATTTTAGGTATTGCATCTCAATATTGAGGCTTGCAATGGAAAGCTGAGATATGGAAACACCTCGGTCCATGTATTGCTGTCACCAGCTGAAGTCTCCGATCGCTGGGCTTGGCCCCAAGAAGATGGTCCGGAGGTTTGGCCCTGGTGAAGTTTTCGGTTAGTAGGACATCGTAGGAGTGCTGTCTCCTGATATTATAGAGCATGTCACTCTGGCTCCTCGTCTCGATCCAAGATGCACTGCGGGAGAGCCGCTTTCGGGTAGATGGAGCACGTGCTGCGGATTTCGTCAGCTGATAGCCTAAGTTGGTGCACTGTAACACAACGGCATGCAGGTAAGCTGAGAGCGCCTTCGGGGTCCAGCTCCGACTCTTCGCTAATGAGAAACCCCCGTGACAGCCTCATGACATATCGAGTCATGCCACTGGAACAAATCCTCTCTTGAATCACAAGCCAAACCGTGGTCAAGTCGGGCCACTCGTATAGGGTAGACGCCTGTTCCTCCCCAACGACCCAACAAAAGCGTCTGGCAGCTGCTGTATTTGAACGGGGCGCCTGGGACTTACTAGGTACGTCATCGGTGGCGCTTATCGGTCTTCAGTTCTCCAGTCGTAAATGTGAACACCAGTCGCATTGTCCCAGCATCAACGCAGACGTGTATCGCTACCACCCAGTCGTTTGTGATATTTCAAGATCCAGGACTGGCTCAGGAACCCACCGCATTCCGTGCTGATTGGCACACGCTGTCCAAGGTCTGGATGAGCGCAGCATTCTAACTGCGCCCCTGGCTCTGGCCGCCGAATCACCATCCAAGATGCCCGAGAAGCATGTCCGCTTCCAAGAGAGCCATGCGACCACGTACGGCTTTCCCTCAGAGGCCTACGACCCCTCCAGGCTGCCGGACATCAACACAGAGTTCATCAGCAAGGCCGACCTAGAAGCCTTTGACAGAGCGCTCCATGCGCCTGACCACCTCCACAGCCCCATCGATGAATCCGGGGTCAGGTCGCCCAATTCATGCGCCTCTCCAAGCTTCACGAAGCGTGACTCGCAGGTTGGGAGCGCCTTCGAGGAGGAAATTGTCGCTGTCGCATCGGGTGGGGCCGCCGCAGGGGCCGAGGTTTTGACGCACGCAACTCCCACGTTCATCACTGCGCAGAACGACTGGGCTCCGGTGAATCCAAAGGTCTACCGCGATCAAAAGGGGACCAAGGGGACCAAGAGGCGGCGGAGGCGGAACAAGACCGTCGAGGGCCTGCTGGGGACGCGCACCAAGGACGAGACCCGCGAAGGGTACTTCTACCAGCTTCTGAAGTGGCCCCTTCTGTTCTTCGTGATTGCTTGGCTGGGAGGGCTGAGCATCGCTTATCTGTCTACGAGATGGTACATCTGGGCGTACGAGCAGTTCTTCACCTGGCGTGGCCAGCGGCAGAGGCTGCGCTCGAATATGAGGGAGACGTCCAACTACCGTGATTGGGTGGATGCCGCCAAGGAGCTGGACTTGTATCTGGGTAGGCTGACCTGGAAGGAGGAGAATGATTTTGCGTACTATGACTCCAAGACGGTGCGCAGGGCATGGGATCAGATGAGGAAGGCGAGGATGGCAGCCGAGTCATTCGAAAACAAGGACGAGGGCGATGGGGGGCAAAAGGCCCGCGAGCTGAGAGCGCTGATCGAGGTATGCGTCAAGAATAACTTTGTTGGCGTTGAGAATGCCAGATTGTACAGCCAGACCTACTACGGAACCAAGAACCTGGTTCAGAACTTCGTCGATGAAGGTAAGAGAAATCATCTCAACGGCAGCTGCCTTCATTTTGAAGCGGCTAACTGACTTCTTAATAGCTGAGAAGAGTCTGAAATTTCTCGCCAACACTACACAACTCACCAAGGACGAGAAGCGGATACTATTCAAACACGCCAATGCCAACTATGGACGGACTGCTCTCTGCCTCTCTGGCGGAGCCGCCTTTGCCTATTACCACATTGGTGTTGTACGGGGCCTCCTGGATCAAGGCCTTCTGCCCGATGTTATAACCGGCACAAGTGGTGGGGCCCTCATCGCAGCACTGGTCGCTACAAGGACAAACGAAGAACTTGACCAGCTGCTGGTACCTGCATTGGCCGCGAAGATCACTGCATGTTCCGAATCGTTTACGACATGGCTGCCTCGATGGTGGAAAACGGGGGCGCGATTCGACTCGCTGGACTGGGCAGAACGATGTGGATGGTGGTCGCGAGGATCCATGACCTTCCGAGAGGCATATGAACGAACTGGGCGGATATTGAACGTCAGCTGCGTTCCTGCGGACCCTCACTCCCCGACCATCCTCTGCAACTATCTCACCTCTCCGGACTGCGTGATTTGGTCGGCTGTGCTCGCCTCCGCTGCCGTTCCAGGTATTCTCAATCCCGTAGTACTCATGATGAAACTGGCAGATGGCACACTCGTACCATATTCGTTTGGACACAAGTGGAAGGACGGCAGTTTGCGGACCGATATCCCCATCAAGGCCCTCAACACCCACTTCAATGTCAACTTTACAATCGTGAGCCAGGTGAACCCTCACATCAACCTCTTCTTCTTCTCCTCAAGGGGCTCTGTCGGACACCCGGTCACGCACCGCAAAGGACGTGGCTGGCGAGGAGGCTACATCATGTCTGCGGTCGAGCACTACCTCAAGCTCGACATGAACAAGTGGCTCAAGTTTGTCCGCCACGCAGAGCTCCTTCCACGACCTCTGGGCCAGGACTGGAGCCAGTTGTGGCTGCAGCAGTTTAGCGGAACCATCACCATCTGGCCGAAATCGATCCCGTCCGACTTTATCCATATCCTATCCGATCCTGATGCGACACGTCTCGCCCGGATGATTCACGAAGGGAAACAAAGTGTATTCCCAAAACTCAAGTTTATCGGTAACCGACTCAAGCTTGAGAGGTTGGTGGAACAAGGTAGGCAGGAGACGCGGCCATGGACGAGAAGCGGTAGCTTGCACACGGTCCTAAGTGAGGAGAATCTGAAGGGCCTGCTCGAGGGAGATTCACTGCCCGGAAGCGCGACAGAGGAAGATACAGACGTGGAAGAGACTGGATCCATTGGTAAGATAAGGGAGCAGCTCGGGATGACGGCGCTGGAGGAGGACGAGACGGAGAATTCGCTTGGAGAGACGGAGGACGAGTCGGTCAATTTTGACACTCAGGATGCCGAGAAGATCAGGATTCTAGCTTCCTCTACATGAGGGGCTTGGAAATTGGAGAAACAACATAACAGACATGGTCAAGTTGGACAGACAGACAGACATTTTTATATGTTCTTTTACAATATACAGCCAACGGTCGGCCGGTAGGAGCTAGACGCAGTATGGTAGCAAGGCGTCTGGGTAATCAAAGAATACAGGAGAAAGTTTTTAGGTTATTTCATTCTTTTTTTTGGTAGCTAGTTCCCACACTCATGCCTGAAAAACATATTACTGGCTTACTTCTGGAAAGTTGTCTTCAGCCTCCTAAGGCACCATCATCAAATCCTCAAGTACAGAAGTTGCCACTGTCTGTGTCCAAACCCTAATTGCAGCTTGGGCTCAAGGGTTCCAGCATTACCCCTCGCTCTCACTTAGTGAGTAAAACTCGCTCTCACTTGATGAGGAACCCTCGCTCTCATTTGGTGAGTAACCCTCGCTCTCACTTAGTGAGTAAAACTCGCACTCACTTAGTGAGTAACCCTCGCTCTCACTTGATAAGGAACCCTCGCTCTCATTTAGTGAGGAACCCTCGCTCTCACTTGATGAGTAGCCCTCGCTCTCACTTGGTGAAGAACCCTCGCTCTCGCTTGATGAGTGATAACCTGTATGTTCATGAAGCAACTTACGACTGGAGATCCAGTCTGCGGGCCACGAATTATCGGCCAGGCTTTGAGCCAGAGAGCTCAAACTTGGATTTTCCTCGAGTAACGCTGTGGCAATCTCGGTTTTCCCTAGGATAGCCGCAGCAGTCAGGTGGAGAGGAACAAGCCGGCGTGGAAGCTTTTGTTTCATAGCACTCTTGAGAAGAGCAGTGGCCGTTTTCTTACTTCTGTGCGTACCGTTCAAGCAGTTGTACAAGGCTGTTTCCATATAGTGGCGGTGGCGAAAGTGATGGAGTGATGCTCCGATATAGTTACCATTGCCAAGAAATGGATGGGCTCCCTGCGCAAGTAGATAGTTCGCGATAGTTGCGTTCCCTTCACATGCAGCAAAACATAAAGGGGTCATGCCTTCTGTCATCATGCCGTTGATATCGATACGACGTGACTCCACCAGCATCTTTGTCATCTCAATCTCGCCGGAAGACACAGCGAAATGAAGTGCAGTAGCTCCGGATAATTTCACCACAAGGTCGCTAACGCCGTATGCAAGACTTATTGTAGGCTTAATATCTTCCGCCTCTATGATTTTGCGTGAGGCGCATCTCCAAGTCGTGATGGCTGTTTGGCTCAAATATTTTGGTACCCCTAGATGACCGAGACTGATCTTGGCTTTCTCGGGGATATCATGCTCGGGCTCAAGTTTCCTAGCGAGCGATTTGAGTTTTCTTTGCAACGTGCCAATTGGATTCGGGATTCTTTCCACGTCTTTGAAAATTGTACGAAGCATCTTCCTTTGTTTACACTGAATCCAGTCAGAAGGGCGTTGTCTCAACATGTTGGCGTTGAGATCGATTCCATGTTCAACTTTGATCAACTCTTGCACCACACCGACATGTCCATTACTTACGGCGGCGACAAGTGGCGTCACGGGCCGGAATCTGGACTTTGTTGCTGCCTCTAACACTAGTCGCTCGTCTTGGAGAATCGCCCGGACAATATCGACATGCCCTCCAAAGGCAGCTAGGGATAACACTGTGTGACCGAAATTGTCACCACTGTTAAAATCTTTCCCAATGGTAGCACTTAGCTCCTGATAGAGCGACCACATTCCGAATCTCGCAGCAACATGAAACAAGTTGGTTTTGCCATGTGGCAAATCGGTCTCACGTAGGCATTCTGGATAATGATCATTTGAGCAGAAGTTATAGTGACAAATCGCTGACACTTCTACCAGCATGTCGTCCAGGCTGGGCGATAGCAAGTACCGAATATCAAGCCAGTATTCTAGGATTTGCGAATCCTTGCCAAAATGCTCTTGAAGATAGTTTTGATCAACACCCCCAGCCTCACTCTGCCGAGCATGATACGGCCAATATTGCGAGCAGTATCTGATGAAGTCATCTTGAAGATCCTGATGCCCACCCCATTTACTTCGTTTATGAGCTAAAAGTGTACCACCTGGATTTCGTAATGGGCAGTAGAGCTTCGCCCGTTCCAAGTATTTTAAACACATCATGCTTATCCCCTTGTGGGCTTGGGCTATTGCAAGCTCATTTGAGTTTTGGGTTCCATCCGCTTTGCCACACAGTTGCCTTAATTTTCTTAGTCCTGTGTCAAGGAAGTAATCCCGAACGGATTGGTGGATGAATTGAACCTTGCCAGCGACACACTCGGCCAAGCCATGGCTAAGTGTAGAGAGCTCGTCGCACATGAGGGTGGTAGAAAATTGGTATTTCTTTGCTTTTTCGATCGACTGTGATGAGGGATAGTTTTGGGAAGTGTGAAAAGGTATGGCCCAGGCCAACTCTTCCAGCTTCAACGGGCGAAAGGCAAGGCATAGCAGCTCCGCGAGATGAAGCGATTTTTCCTTGTTTTGCATCTTTTCTAGGATTTCATCGTATATCTGGTCGAGATCCTTGTGCGATAGTTGGGCAATTTTCTCGCGAATGATGTCCAAAGGCTTCTTCGACTTCTCGAGCTGCAGAACATGGGCTGTTACTAGACGAGCCCACATAAACATGCCTGCAGCTCCATCGACAATAGATGCAAATATCTCTTGGTCCTTCAGAATATTCGACTCTGACAGCCTCGCATAGACATACAATTTGATGTCCTCTCGGTTCTCATCTTCGAGGCATGCCGAGGAAAAGTTCTGCTGGAGGTTCAAGTTTGGATAGTGACGGCACGAGAAGCAGACCCAGACACCATAACGGGGATTTGCGGGTTGACGTGTCCAATACTCCAAGTGTTGGACGAGTGCAGCAGCTTCTGATGCGCCACATTCGTCTACGGCGTCCACGAAAATACGTACCGGCTTGTGCTGGGAAGCTGCTTTGAGAAACATGTCGAGGTGTGTGGCCACTTCCTTCCAGTCCCAACTCCACTTGCCATCCAGTGTGAAACCCCTTTCGACCCTCTCGAAATACTTTTCAAGAATACGAGATGAGTCGAGAAGCTCCGGTATAGCGGACAGGAGTTGATATAGGAGAGATTGGTATAGCCCAAGACGAGTCTTCTGTAGGGAGCTACCTCTGTTATGGAAGAAGCACGACAATATTATGACGCTTCCTTCTTCCGAGGAGCCAGACAAGTGGTTCTTCGTGAGAACATGCTTGAGAAGGATCGACTTTCCCGAACCAGGAATGCCTTTAACCCAAAGTATTCTTGGGTCTTGGAATTCGCGCCAAGTCCGGTAGGCTTCGTTCTCGAAGATCCAGGTGCATGTGCCATCGACTGCTACTTCCAAATCTTGCCACCGCCGTTCCATGTCGGGGAATACGAGGGATTGTAAGAAGATCTTGCGTTTGTCTCCGTCTGATAAGGGAGCCGGGTGTGTATGATCTGCGCGAGTTATAGATGAGAAATGAACCGAAAACAACCGATTTCATTGATGTCAGCTCACAGAACTTGATCTTGTGCCTTTCCCCTGTGACTAGGTATAGAGTTCCCGGACCAGAATGGTGGACGCTGGTGCCCGATATATGTACCTGATCCCAAGGGACTGAACTATTATCATTGCGTGTATTCGACATGATGTGGTTAGACGTTAACTCGTCTGGATTGTCGTGTTGCACTGATACTGGCTAATTTACCATGGCAAGCGAGAGGCGAATGGAATAGGAGGGAAGACGAGCACGTAGTTCCCCTTAGCTGAAGAGGTTCCCCTTAGCTGAAGAGGTTCCCCTTAGCTGACGAGATCCCGACCAGAACAAGGAGGTGTGCAAGCGCCTAGTTCTGAAATGTGATTGGATGCGAATTGACTGCCTTGCATACAAGACACATTAGTCTTGGTGGTCGAACAGACCAATGGCCGTCACAGATCGCGCAGCCTTACGGATGCGAACCATTACAGGTCTACGCATTTGCATTGTATGCTGCCTCCTCACTCAGACACCGACTTTCCCTTCCTTCTTCTTTGTATCTTCGTTTTTGAAATAGTAGCCATTAGAGTTAAAATACGACCGACACAAGCTACCGCACGGCTCCAATCTTGGCGCTTTTGTGGGAGCCAGATTTGACTTGAGCTTCAGTCTGATTTTCTTTTTCATGGAAAGATAGTGGTAAGCTTACTCTACACACACGCCATTCCGTCCCGTGGCTGATTCTCATTTATAGTTCTTTTTCCTACCATCGCGATGTCAGATGTCTTTGGCCTCTTGGGCACCACAATCACGAGCTTCGATATTATACTCACGTTACGTCAACGCTATATGGAAGCGAAGGAAGTACCCGGTGCATTTCCAGAGGTGCTACAGCGGATGGAAATAGCCAGGCGCACTCTCCAGAAAGTCCAAGACAAAGCTAGTAATGGTATCCCTTCCGACGATGACGGAGTGACCCTTCAACTCGTGCAGGCTTGCAAGGAGAAGACGGACAAGCTGGAGGTCATTTTCGACAAGGCGGCACCTGTCGAGGGCGCCTCCCCGATCAAAAAATATCGGCGGATACTCGAGCATATGAAGAACAGCGAGAAAGTCGAAGACTTGGCGAAGAGCATATTCAGAGATTTACAAATCCTCACACAGAGGTGGTCGATGGATGCTGTGACACAGAGCGAACTGAAGGAAGCATTGGAGAAACTTGAGCAGGTGGAACCATCGATCAGAGATTCGGCGAGCACTGTGTATGGCTCGGGAGTAATCCTCCATAACTACAGCACTGGTACGGTGTATAGTACGTCCGGTACCGGACATACCATCACCTTTGGCAAGCACGGTTGACATTATTTAGGTAGCTTCGCATCTTAATGATCAGATAAAATGGTTGATTAGAAATCTGCACAAAACTGTTCGTTTATTCTACCTACTTGGCAAGATTTCGATGCGCAAGGTACAAACATAGACGACATATGGTTACATTGTGGCATTTTATCTCATTAGAGTCCACCATTTATAGATAATCAGATCTTCTTTCTTCATCTAAATTAATATTGTGCATGTAAGGATACGTAAAGAACTGGTAATTGAAGCAAGGACCCCCTGTGCTGGTACTGGCGCCAGGCGTTATACTGCCTTACGGTACCACCCAAATGGTTATAACACTTCACCAGAAACAAGTTCAAAAAAATCATTCGTAACCAGGTCTTTATTTATAGCGGCTCAAAGCCTCAAGAGGGAGTTTCATTCTAATTGAATTCAAGGGAGAGAGGATGTAAGAGGTGACACTAGGGATTTTGCCCAGAATGACCTACTATTATTTCCCTTCCACCACATTGTTTTCCCGTGTAATCTATACGTGGGCTAATGGATTAGAGTACTGATCAAATGTTAGGACTCAATACTCTTGCTTACATACGGTTCCAGAAGAGCTTAGCTGGGGCACAGCGCTGCCCTTGGCCAGGTCACATCCCTTGGCAAAGGATAGAAACTCCATCAGGACCCGTCTGGCGTAGCATAAACACGCCGAACTAGACGATGATATGGAGAAGTGTTCCTGCGAATTCTTCCGGTCATAGGTAGGTATGTAGGCAGTTTCGCTCAGGTTCTGGCGGCTGACATGGCAGTCAGAAGTAAGCTGGAGGGGATTGATGGATCTTGCCAGTTCCGGGAGCTATTTAAGGCAACACTAATACCGACATGGGTAGTGGGATTGGGGCCTGTACTGCGAAGCCGGTAGGTACCTCTGGCTGAAGTTACAGGGCTGTTCCAGTGGAAAGTGACACGGTGGCGCCAAAATCGTGATTCCGCCCTGACGTCGGTGGGGGAGCACGATTATTCCGGGCCCTGGCCAATCACAGGCGCTTGCTACAGGACACCTTTGAACAATCCGCATTGCAGCCTCGACCAACTTTCTGGAGACGCACGACACATCTCAACTTTGTGTGGAGGACACCGACCCTCGACCCTTTCTCTCCTTCACTACCTTCATTTCTCCCCTTGCCGCCATTTTTTCTCTTTTTCTTTTCGTCTGCTTACTTCATTCCCCCAGAGAGCAGGCCTGAGCTCTCCCCGTCGCCAGCATGAGCTCGGACTACTCCTACGACGAGCATGTGCGTTGTCCTCGTCCAGTCCCCAATTCCCGCCGGGCGCATTGTCTGGGTGCTAACCGTCTCTCCGTCCGCAGGGCCAATTCTTCCCCTTCTTCATCCTCACAGTCACCGGGCTCGTCACCATCCCGCTGACCTACACACTCGTCCGCTCCTCCACCGACGACGACAAGCTCGCGCCCCGGATCAAGACCGACTACCGGGCCCAGAATGCCGACGCCATCGCCGCTGTGCGGGCGACCCAGCAGCGGAAGCAGAGGAGGCTCACGAGGTTCCTCTTCGCCCTCGGGGGCTGGGTCCTCATGGGCGCCATGGTCTATCTGATCTTGGTCACCCAGCCCACCGTCCAGAAGATCTGGAACCCTTACGATATCCTTGGAATTTCAGATGTATGACTGACAACCCTTCCCTTCTCCCTCGCCCTCCCTTTGCGACTCCCTTTCTTAGAGTGCATTGGCCGCACGGGAAACTGACAAGTCTATCCACATCTAGTCCGCATCAGAAAAGCAAATCAAGTCACACTACAGGCAGTTGGGAAAGAAGTACCACCCCGACAAGGCCAGGCCCGATCCCGCCAAGAATGAGACCCTCGAGACCATCAACCAAGTGTGGGTAGAGCTCAGCAAGGCCTACCAGGCCTTGACAGACGAGGAGGTCCGCAACAACTATATCCAGTTCGGCCACCCCGACGGCAAGCAGAGCTTCAGCATCGGTATCGCGCTCCCCAAGTTCATCGTCGAGGATGGCAACGGCAAATACGTCGTCCTACTCTACACGCTTCTTCTCGGCGTCCTGCTCCCCTACATGGTGGGATCATGGTGGTACGGAACCCAGCGCATGTCCAAGGAGGGGGTCTTGATGTCCAGCGCCAACAAGCTGTTCCGTCGGTATGAGGACGAGATGGATGAGGCCGGTGCGATTACCGCCCTCAGCTCTGGCGACGAGTACGCCGACCTGCTCAAGGGAGACAGGGCGGATTCGGGTCTTGCCAAGATTGAGTCAAGAATCGCCGCTTCCAGCGAGGTACACAAGTCGTCCCCGTACGTTTCTGGCATCCCTGAAAAGGAAAAGGAACGACTCGAGGACATGGATAACGGGCCGCGACGAAAGGCGCTGGCTCTGCTGTGGGCGTACCTGGGCCGTGTCGAGCTGGATGATGCCGCTCTAAACCAGTCAAAGTACGAGGTGGCTCCGATAGCCCGGGCCCTTCGAGAATCATTCGCTGCCATCTCTCTGGCATACGGTAACACCAAGCCCATCCTCACTTCATACTACACCGCCCAGAACGTCGTCCAGGCCGTCGCACCAAACGCCTCCCCACTTCTCCAGCTGCCACATATTACTCCTGAAATCGCCAACGCCATTGAGGGCGACTCACGGAACCATTTCGATCTCCAAGATTTCCTCGACCAGTCAGACTCTGAGCGAAGAAAGCTGGCCGTTGGCAAGGACCTTCTCAGCGAGGACCAGTACAAGACTGTACTCAACGTTGGTCAACAATTACCTTATCTGCGTGTGGCCAAGGCATTCTTCAAGGTTACTGGCGAGAAGTACATCACTCCTGCCTCTCTGGTGACCCTCGTCATCAAGGGTCGGTTCATCCCCCCCGGTGCCGAGAACGTCCCCAAGATCCACGAAGACGACCTGGAAGACATTGATCCCGCCGAGGATGACTTGGACGCCATCAACGGCAAGAAGCAGATCGTCAAGGGCCCCGACGGAAAGCTCGTTGCCGTCGACAAGCAATCCATCCTCCCGCCCATGACCTTTGCCCCCCACTACCCCCGCGACCAGTCCCCCAAGTGGCACGCCTTCCTCAGCGACTCCAAGCAGGGCAAGATGGCCGTGCCCCCCTTCACATTCGCCAAGTTCGACCAGCCCATCTTCGACGCGCAGGGCAAGCCCACGTTCGCCATGCAGACCCTCAAGGCGCAGTTCGCCGCGCCCCCGCAGGAGGGCCACTACACTTTCGTTCTGCACCTGATCTGCGACTCCTACATTGGCTTCGACACGAAGATGGAGGTTACCCTGGTTGTCGAGGAGGCCAACAAGGCCGTCTCGATGAGCACTGAAGACGAGATCAGTGAGCCTGACGAGGGTAAGTACCTATTCCTCCAACCATCATATCTACTTCATGGACCAGCCCTAACAAATTTATTACAGATTCCCTCGCTGGCCAGATGCAAGCCCTCAAGGGCGGCGCTCCCCCTCCCAAGCCCCGCCGCCGACCAGCTAACGACGACGACTCCTCCGACGAGGAGAGCGGAACCGATGATGAAGAGGAGGACGATACCAGTGCAACCAACACCGACACCGAGGATGAGTCGTAAAGAGGCGGGGCTGGGCCGGCGCAAATGTTGCTAGAAACCAAGTAGAAAAAAGAAAAATTGCGTTTCTTTGAAGCTTTAATTGGGCATATATGAGTAGCGAAACCGTCGTCCTTTTTTTACTTGGGGGAAACCATTTTTCCAAATGTGTATTCTTTATATAAAAAAGTTGCCACATGAGACGGGGTTGTAGGGGTTTGATAATGTCACCCAACGCTTATGTGTTTGGTCAGGTTAGTTACTTACTGAGGGAGTTATGGCAGAGGCTTGATTCGTTGGGATTTTCCATATTTTATTTGACACAATATACTCTTTCTCCATTTACTATTCGAATTGCTCTTAATATGATTTCGAGGTGGTGGGGATTGAACAAGGAAGCTGTCCTCTTATTTCATTGATTCCCTATAGAAAGACATATATATACCTGGGAGGTGCGCAGATCTGATCTGGACCGAAAGCAAGCTAGATATTAATATATTAACCCCGTTCACTCGACTCCCTGAACACCATGAAAAGCAAAATGCATGAAAAGCAAAATGATGCATCTTTCTGCCCGTCCTGGAAAGGTAGGGGTTGGTGGGCGAGACAGACGGGTTGTTGGTCGTGACCCGCGGCCTGACCCTGCCTCTCGACACACCGTATGTTGCACGACGCTGCTCATCCGCATGTGACAGTCCACTTTCTACATGTATAAAACCCGACCTTGCGGTCTTCCAAATAATTTCGCTCAGGTATGACAAAAAATATAGACGGGAAGGGTGTCGAAAAACATGACTCGGCTAGCGGGCTCTGGCAATGTGAGAACAAAAATCTATCACCATGATCATCAACAGACTCTGACGCCGCAAACTTCGATTCCTTTGCCTTCAATCTTTGCAGTCCTATCGAAGTAGGTTCTCACAAGGCCCTGTACGAAGGCGGCATCGCTAGCACTCCAGACGTCCAGGCCCATGTTGTCAACAGCACGGTTGTCGACGGTGATGGCGCGCGGGGTGCTCTGGCCGCTGAGGAGTGCATCGCCTTCTTCCTCTCCGTCACTTTCGTCTAGTGGGTAAGCCTCATCCACCCCCTCGACAATATCTGAGAGAATGGAGAGCATCTGGGCCGTGAGACGGTGGAAGTACGTAACCACAGCAAGCTCAATACGAGCCTCACCTTCAGGATCGGCAGCATTGCGGCGGGCAGCCAGAGATGAGATGGAGTCGGCCAGAGGATCGGCACGGGATCCTGGCCCTGGCATGGACATTGAGTTCTGAGCCGATGGGTGCTCAAGGTCTGCAAGCAAAGCAGCATCCCGTGCCGACTCTTCTTGCTCTTCAGACCGCAATTGTTCCCCGGCGCTGGCCCACCACATATACCCGTTGTATGCAAAAGCGGACCAGGTCAGAGGCTCGACCAATTGTTCAAAGGAGTCATCA